TCGCCCGCAAGTTGGCCAGCGTCCAGGCCGCGTCGTGCCCAGCGCCCGCTCAACCGTGCCTCGAAACTCTTCACCGTACGGATTTTCGTGCATAGTCGTACAGATATGGGTGTAGAGGTCTTCCACAATAAATATGGGAGTCCTACGAACAGCCGTTCGTACTGTATTCGACTCGCAACCCAAGCGCGCGAGTTTCCGGCTCGGCATCTGGACCCTCCAGGTGCTACAAGCCACAGGGCCCTAACGAGTAATCACATCGCTCCAATTTCTGCACCCCTGTGTTCGCATACGTCTAAAACCACCATACCACTCTTCACTTTACCCAAATACCGTAAGAATACCCTTCACAGCCGCCCGCAAGTTGGCCAGCGTCCAGGCCGCGTCGTGTCCAGCGCCCGCTCAACCGTGCCTCGAAACTCTTCACCGTACGGATTTTCGTGCACAGTCTTACTGATATAGGCGCAGAGGTCTTCCATAAAAAATATGGAAGCCCTACGCACAGCCGTTCGTACTGTATTCGACTCGCAACCCAAGCGCGCGAATTTCCCGCGCGGCATCTGGACCATCCAGGTGCTACAAGCCACAGGGCCCTAACGAGTAATCATATCGCTCCAATTTCTGCACCCCTGTGTTTGCATACGTCTAAAACCCCCATACGAACCTTCACTTTACCCAAATACCGTAAGAATACCCTTCACAGCCGGCCGCAAGTTGGCTAGCGTCCAGGCCGCGTCGTGCCCAGCGCCCGCTCAACCGTGCCTCGAAACTTCTCACCGTACGGATTTTTGTGCATAGCTTCACTGATCTGGGTGTACATGTATACCATCAAAAATATTGGAGCAATACGTTCAGTTCTACGTACAGTATTCGACTCGCCCCCCCGCGGGCGCGAGTTTCTGGTGCGGCATCGGCACCATCCAGGCGCCCCAACTCACAGGGACCTGGCGAGCAATCACAGCTCTACACTTTTAACGCCATTGTGTTCATATACGATCAACCCCTCATGCGAGGCTTCACTGCATCGGAATATCGTATGAATAGCCTTCACAGTCACTTGCACGTTGGCCAGTGTCCAGGCCGCGTCGTACCCAGCGCGCGCTCAACCGTGCCTCCAATCTCTTCACCGTATGTCTCCTTGAGCATGGTCGTTCTCATATGAGTGTACATGTATACCATAAAAAATATGGGAGCGTTACCTTCAACCACTCGTACAGTATTCGACTTGCACCCCGCGTGTGCGAGTTTCCGGCGCGGCATCTGCACCATCCAGCTGCGCCAAGCCACAGGGCCCTAACGAGTAATCACATCGCTCCAATTTTTGCACCCCTGTGTTCGCATACGTCTAAAACCACCATACCACTCTTCACTTTACCCAAATACCGTAAGAATACCCTTCACAGCCGCCCGCAAGTTGGCCAGCGTCCAGGCCGCGTCGTGTCCAGCGCCCGCTCAACCGTGCCTCGAAACTCTTCACCGTACGGATCTTTGTGCACAGTCTGACTGACATAGGCGTAGAGGTCTTCCATGAAAAATATGGAAGCCCTACCTTCAGCCGTTCCTACAGTAGGCGACTCGCACCCCACGCGCGCGAGTGTCGTGGGCGGCATCTGGGCCATCCAGCGGCGCCAAGCCACAGGGACCTCACGAGCAATCACACCTTTACAATCTTTTCGCCACCGTGTTCGCATACGTCTCAAACCTTCATGTCAGGCTTCACTGCATCGAAATGCGGTATCACCAGCCTTCACAGTGCCCCGCAAGTAGATCAGCGTTGGGGCCGCGTCGAGCCCGGCGCCCGTCAACCGTGCCCCCAAACTCTTCACTGTACAGAACTTTGTGCATAGTCTTATTGATACGGGTGTACACGTCTCTCATAACAAATATGGGAGCACCACCT